AAAACTAATCTAAATTCAGCGATATCAGCGTTTAAAGCCTGAACATATCAAAATCTTTAAAAACATCACAATGGGTGGTAAGTGAGACGCTTGATTTAGAAGACAATCGAACGATGCCTGTTGCGACTGTTCGCGGGAAGACAATCAAGGGTTAAATAAAATGATTTTCAGCCTCGCAGGAGGATATTCTTTCATAAAACATGGAAGAAAATATGATTGTGCTCGGGTCAGTAGTAATAAAGAAAATTGCATTGCTTACCTTAAACCTCAATATTTTCCTGAAACACCGATTCTATTTTATGCTCTCTGCTTTTGATTCGTGCCCATAAAGTAGCCTGGGCCTGTTTTAGCCCGATAGCTTGGCGCTTTACCCTGTCCCAAAGAAACGGAGCCTGATTACAAATCTTCGCTAAGACGGATTCTGCAAAGGCACCCCTACAATTAAAGGACACAGCAAGTATCGACGGTGCTTTGAAGGTGCACAACGCACTCTGCACGGGAGTGCTTCCGCGAAGACGATTGGTATCTAATTCCAGAAGGAAAAGTTTCAAAGATCTAAACGCAAACATTTTCGAAAAAAAAACCGTGTCTAGAACATTCATTAGCTGCTATCCCTTGTTAATTGCAACCTCCACAGCTACTAAAAGCTATGGGCTCACCAGACTAAAACAGTGTGGGCAAATTACGGTTTCTACCTTAAGTTTCCAATATACTCCGCTGTTTGGTTCAAGTTTTTTTTTGGGCTAATGTAAGTTCTTATAAGTTGCTTCTAGGTCGTCCTTTAAGTCATGTCAATAATATCCTCAAATCGCTTAAGAAATGAGGTTGTTCTCAGTACACTTCCCTGTTTAATTCTTAGGCTTTTGTTAGAAACAATGGACTAATTAAACAATTTGCTGTCTGCATCGCTTGTCACTCTGGAGAATCGTATTACAATTAGTAGCTGGAGTTATCAACGCAGAAGTTTCTTTGTCAGAAAAGTATTCGTCGTCAACACGAAGACTGTGGCCCTAATAGAGATTATGATCCAAACTAAGGTCAACACTATCGTTGAAATCGTAGCAATACAAGTAATACTGCCCTATTAATCTGTGGTGGTACTGCGAAAGGCAGAGCGAACTGTTTGCTTATAAGAAAATATTATAAGGACAATACCCTTTCGGGCAACTAGGAGGAGCGGTTACAGTAACTACCCTCCAATCTAGGAATAGAATCGGTAAGCCAAGACAATTTCATCACTATCAAAAAAAAAACCGAAAAAAAAAACACATGAATTAGTAAGCAACAAATCTTCTAGACAGTTGACCAACAGAAAGCAATAGTCGCTTTTGCTCAAGTGCAGCGCTAAAATTTAGGAGTTACTCGCCCAGCAGCAAAAGATCCATATAAAGGAAGACTGTTCTTTCTACATCTGAACTATCTGTATAAGACTAATAATAGTTTGAAAACTGAGTGACTACCACCACAATTCAGAAAGGAAAAGGAAATACAGATTTACAAGTCGTATCCTAATGCTTCAATCCGCTGAAGTAATCCATCAACTCGGGCAGTATAGCCTTGCCCTGTATCCTCACCAGATTCATCTCCAGGGGCCAGTTCAATAATTTTGAGAAGCTTTTTAATCCCGATCAAAAACCTGGAATCCATTGCAAATTCTGCAGTCAGCTTTATGGACTCTTCAAAAAGTAGTCACGGACTTACCCATTATGCATTTTCGACAGCCCTTCAGAAATCCTTCCGCATTCTTTGAGAGAAAAGTCGCCAGACTTATCAATTACAGCCATGATTTCCTCTACAGTTGTTAATGCCGGAACATCGTAAACAATGTCAAACACTGAAGTCAGCCCTACATCACGTAAGAAAGACCGACCTGATGACGTTCCAAGAACCAGCAACCTATGCTTCTAAAATATAACGTTACAAAAACGTAAACCGGTGTTTGAAAAAAGGTAAAAAGTGCGCATCAAAAGTTATAAGAAAATTATATTCACCTTGGGAGGTTTATGCCTCAGTAGAACAAGCAACGCTTGTAAAACGATGTTCGAATAACGAGGCCCAATAGGTGAAAAATCTAAAAACAGCACTTACCACTGAATGTCAAGTCCACAAACCGAGATTGCCAAAAATAGTTGAAGAGGAAAAGATTTTAAAGGCAAAACGTTATTTTCTGGTTTAGGTAAAAACTTATTATATCCGCTTCCCTGAGGAAACAAACCTAGCAGTCGTTCAATGTCATCTACAATTATGACACTCAACGGAGATTTGTAGGCATCCTCAAAACAACTTCGCAGCATCATGCACTTTGCAGTTTCAGTAAAGCCCACCATTTCAACAGGACTACACATCTGAAAACAAAAATGCTTAAACTACATATTTTAACAAGTCTACTCACAACTTACAGCTAAAAAGTATCCCAACATGAAATGCTGTACTTTCACACTTCTTACGTTATCTTTCGTACAAATTATAAAAATCAATTCTAGTATGAAATCAAAAGAAAAAGGAAGAGAAAAAGAGGATAATCAATGTACCTTGATGAAAGGGAAATCGGACCTCTTTGCGATTGAAGCAGCGAGGCAAGTTTTTCCAGTACTGGGAGCTCCTGGAATTTTTTCGGGTGATTAACGTGTGACGTTAATGAAAACTTTCTCCAATGACATTTAAAGCAAAACATTTTTTTCGCCTTGCCAATAAAAAAATTTATGATCAAAGTATTCTTGCACCTTCAATGATTTTTCTGATATTGATAAAAATTAAAACATTTTTATTTGGGCCTAACCATTCTGATATAAGTGAGTATTCAAAAAAAAATTAAAATAATGCAAAAAAAAGTGAGCCGTCATTCTCTGAAGACTATCAAAAGTAAGCTAAACAAAGACATAAAAGTTACCAGCTAAAAGAGCTGTGACGAAACCTTCACTTCCAGGATCCCTTACTTTTTCAGCTAGCAAGACACCATCATTTAAAATTTCAGTCACTCTTGGACTCCATTCGACAAAACCTTTACGCAAATACTCTTCAAGCTTTTCATCTTCACGTCCGAAAGCCTGAAAACAAACTTTCACATTCATTCAGTCATGAGGACTGACCACTACATGTTCTATAAAATGAAAAATTTTAGATTTTTGAGGAAGTATATACCGGTTTAACGTCATTCTCCAAGGCATACTCAAAATCTGCACTAGAGACCATAAGTTTTTCAAAAGCATCAGGGTCAACTTTCACTTTTCCATCTACCTAAAAAAATGAACGCTCAGTTTTACGAAAAAAACTGAAATCAAAGCTACGTGAATCCGAAAAACAAACGTATATTTTAACCGAAAGAATTGCAAACCTTAATCAGCCGATTCATAGCAGTCGACTGAGCTGCCCTCACCAAACCTTCAATTTCAGCACCAGAAAAATTCTTCGTTTTCTTCGCTAATAGTTCTAAGTTAACATCGGGATCCAACTTATTATATTCTCTGAAACGTTTCAGTAAAAATAAAACAGTCACAAAAAATGCATATCTAACAGCAAAATATGACAAAACTTTACGAATATAACTTGGAGCATACTTCATCGTAGACGTATGAATCTTCAAAATTTGCAAACGACCGTTTTCATCGGGCAATGATATCTCCAGTTGGACTTCCAACCTACCAGGTCTTAGTAGTGCCTCATCTATCATATCTACCCTGTTAGTCATTCCAATAACAAGGATGTTATTTAGTTGGCCCACACCGTCCATTTTTGATAGAATCTGGTTAACTACCGTATCATGCACTGCCGTAGAACCAGCCTAAACTCATAATATTAGAAGATCAAAACAAAAAAGATTTTAGGATACATGTACAGAGTCTGTACGAAAGCAATACATAACCAACAACAAGCGTTACCAACCACTAAAATGAAGTAAGAGCTACATACCACAGAACCACGTTTCTTGCAAATTGCGTCAATTTCATCAAAAATAATAATGTGTAATCCAGAATTAGGTCCAAGCTTTCTCGCTTCCTCTTCAGCATCAGCAAAAAGCTTTCGAATATTCGATTCTGACTCTCCGACATATCTAAATAAATGATTAAAGTAATTTTAGGAAATAAATTCTGTGCAGCTAAAAGAAAATAATTGTTTGCCAATATAATGTTGAACCGTTTACAACAACGACAGAATCAAACTACATAAAAAAGCCCTCTTTTAAGCTTACACTTCCGAAACTTTAATTGTTGTTTTCAAAAATATAATGTGACAAACTTGTCTAAGATCTCAGGTCCGTTCACAATTTTCGGCTCTCTAGCATTCAACATTTTTCCAATTTGACGAGCCATTAATGTCTTTCCAGTACCAGGAGGTCCATACAGAAGCATGCCTCTGACATGTTTGATACCTACAACCCAATCAACTTCTCAAAATTCATTTGAAGATACCAAAAATATAACACCTACAAACACGTTAACTGCTTTTACCCAGCTGCTCAATAACCTCCGGCGGGAAGACGCGTGACGCGAAAGCACGACGAAATATCCCAGTGAATTCCTTGTCAAGTCCTCCAATCCCCATTTTTTGGAAATCCCAGTCTGGATTGATTATAGACTGGTACGATGATGCTCTAAAAAACTTTGAAAATAAAAAGTTAAATTTAAAATAAACGAGATACGAAGAATATAATACATAGTTAAAAACAAAACTTCACACACCCCTTACTCTTTCCGATCAAATTAATAGACGACCCTTCTGCTTTATCGAAGATAATTGCTGAATTAGGCAGCAATCTACCAACGTTAATCTAAAAAATAATTTACTTCCCCATAAAATCTACTAATAAAACTCAAAATACCAAAAATGTACCTTTGACGATTTACCTCCTTCTGTACGTCCCTGTTTTAAGATAGTGACATCCAAGCCTATAAAAGCGGAATTAGAATATGCTTTTTGAAATCAAAAACAAAACGGAACTATCCCCACCCTCTAACTTATTACCAGTTCAGTAAGGAAAAATGTACGACCAAGATGAAATCAAGTACGCTAATTATGCAACAGAACTGTTAAAAAATTCGTTTTTTCTGAAAAAAAAATTTTCTTTAAACAAAATTTATTATGCAAAAAACTTTTCAAATGTTTCTCATCGGCTACAAAAACCACTATAATTAGAACTTTTAAATAAATGTAATAAAAAGTAATCAAAAACCTTCTAGCGAAGTGACAGTTAACGATAAAATGTAAGACTTGTTCTTTTCATCTTCGTATCTAAAAACGAGGAGTTCGCCACGAGTAAACGCGTGGCCGGGAAATTGCGCTAAGAATTCTCGAGCCATATGATCTGCATTCAATGGTGTGGTTGCCTGACTAAAAAAAGCACATTCAACAAACCTTAGAGAGTAACATTGTCTCTAGTGATGTTACAAAAACAGAAGATTTGCTAGAAATGGGTAACAAATAAAATACTACAAAAGTAACAATTTGGTTTAGCGTATGTAACAATTTAATTTGTTCAACTACTTGCGAAACTAAAAGGTAAACGAAATGGAAAATAAAAAAGGATGTTTCTTCAGTCCCTTCTCAGAGAAAGAAGCTTCAAAAATCTTATCTTTACCATTACCTTCTTTTAGAGTTGAAATCCGTGGCCAAAGTGATAACACTAATACAGTCAGAGTTCTGACCAAATGTATGCCTTTCCACCTCAACTTCTTGATCAAGTGACAACGTGGCCCACTTTCTTTGCGGCACAGCAAACGCAATTTCATCAGTCTTCACATCTTTGTGATTTTTGACATTGAATACAAAATGCTGGCCTACCTCGGTTTTGACCAGCACATACCTAAGTTAAATAAAAGAAGCAATAAAATTTTAAAGGACTCTAGTAGGACGGAGTTTTCAAAGATCTTGACTTCATTTACTTCGTTCTTTCCGCGTCAAACGCAACGGGATTTACCACGGCACAATTCGTCACAGCAAGTTCATCGGTCGGACATTTACGCACTTTAAGTCTCATCTGTGATCCTGTGATAATTACAGTACTATAACGATCAGACAGTTTAGGTCTTTGCGCTATTTACTAGAATAGTCCACTTGTAACCACACGAAGATTCCAATTTCTATACGACAGAAAATGATTATTATAGGCTACAGAAAAAATACCAAAGAGAATAGAAGAACTACAAAATTTGACAAATAGTTTAGTGGCAAGACACTTCAGGAGGATCTATGCGATAGATCTGATAGAGTGAAAAATCCAAAAAGGAACTAAAAAACTAGCTTTAACCTACAAAGCAAATTCAAGCATAGCAAACAGAACAGTCCCTTATCAGGCTGTTCCTCAGATTCTTGACCAGCTCCGTAACTTGAAATATGAACAAAAAACGGTTTAAACTTCTTGAAAAAATACTCGTTTTCAACAAATATAAATGCAGAAACAAATTTTAATAAGAACAAAATACATAATTAATAATTATTTTACAGTCGTTGTGAAACCCTACAAACAAATTACCCAATTGGGAGAGACGAGTATTTTCCTTGACCAAGTAACTTTAAAAGATTCTAGACTCCTCCAAGACACAAGCAATAAAGTGGCTTCTCAATGCTCTTAGCTAAACCAGCATAAGCAAGTAATTCATCTCTACCCGTCCCAACCATTACCAGCTCAGTCTGGGAGAAACATCTTGAATAGACGAAAAGTTTGCCGCAACTAGAGCAAGCTGTTAAGTAAAGAATAGAGTGATATAAAAAACAAGCAAATTTCAAAAAAAAAAGCGCTTTCCTCCCCATAACCTGATTGGCGCATTGCAGTGTTCATTCCTAGAACATTCTAATAACTACAGGGCCATTCCAGAAATATCGTGTCAAAATCGCTACTGAATCAAAGCTCTTCATAACCTCAAGCCACCGTCGTCTCAAAAGAAAGGTTTTTCCAGCGTACAAGCCTTCTCAACGGCCAGAATTACAAATGTAAAAGAAATATAGAACGCCGACGACAAAGTGGCTAAACTAGACCAAAATAACTGTTGAGAAAGTTAGTGTGCCCCTTCCAGAAAGTCTAATGAGAAGAAATCAGACTTTAAAGAAAAGTAAAACTTTTCCAACGTACAAGCATTCTAGAGTGCCAACCGAATACTCTGCGATAAGCTCTCCTTCCACCTCAATGTGTGAAATGCCATATAAATCAATAACGTTTTCAATGTGCAAAGTAGATTAAGCTGATGTTCAAGTTAGTTTAGCTCCCACCTTTAAAATGAAAGTGATTTGAAATGGTAAGCTCCCGAGATTGGCTGCTTGTTTTCAAAACATAATTAGGTCGACAGGCTGAAAAAGCAATCCATCAGACCGTTCACACAAGTGTTCCGTTAAAATACCCAAAAGTCAACAAATGAACACTTCCTAGCTATGTAGCTTAAAAGTTACTGGCCATAGACTGCATGTATCACCTTTACAAGAACCTTTAATTTTTTAATGGTATATTTCAATTCAGCTTTTTTACCCCATTCCCAGCTTCATTATCCTCAAATTCCGTATTTTGGTTTTTAGCCGTTCCACTGAAACATTATTGCAACTAGGGGATTGAATGGAACTAAGAAAAGCTATCAACAGTTATTGCGTCTCAGTCTTGCAAGGTCAATAAGAGCCCTCTTCCAAAAAAAAAAAAAAAAAAAAAAAAAAAAAAAAA